CGAAAGTGAATCTAGCAGCCTGTGTGAAATGCGCAAGGCTGTAGCTTACTACTTGTCCCTCTCATTCTGCACCAGTACAAATACGTGTGCACGTTGCGCATGTTTTGCTTGCTGGAGTGTTTCTGCATTATATGAGTGGCTTTGGAATATAAATCGCAGCACATTTCAGATGAAAAAAACGCGACTTCTATTTCTGAAAATACCACAGTTTGGAGATTTATAGCGAGTGGTTCTCTGCATTATTACAGCAAAGCGCGTGATTACAGTACTAAACCGCTGCAATGGAGCAGCTCTAATGCTATTAAATTAAAGATGATGTACCATAGAGCAAAAAAATTAACAGTGAAAGTAACAAAAACTTGTAAAATACATTTTAATGGGCATAATTAAGTGTGAAAATAACAGAAGGATATACAGTGAAACCAAAAATGATTCAGAGACTGTGTATTTTTTTACTAGTGGGTGCAGGACACTATAGTTAATTTATGTAAGTGAGGATAGCAAAAGAAAGTAAACTGTGACAAATCATACCCAAAAATTCTTCATACAGTGGACTACCAGTAAAATTGATACAAATTTGGGTCCAAAAATTATTCAGACCGAGTCTGGGAAAAAAACTGAAGTTGAGGTTTTCATGAAGCTGGGTGACAGCATGCCCAGGAGACTACAGGCTGTCATTGAGGCTAAGGGTTGCCCGACAAAGTATTCATAGTTGTGTAAATACTGTCATACTAACAGCTGTCTGAATTATTTTGGTTGATTGTAATCTATTACATACCTTTCTATCAAAATTATCTAACATTATCAAGATGAATTTGTTCTGACACAGTGTAACTCTGAGTTCTTGTCATATTTTATTACCATTTTCTAAACTATAGCGAATAAACTGTGATAATGTGAGAAATGTTGAAGGTGTCTGAATAAATTTTGGTTTGACTATCTATTTGATAAATGAAGTTAACCAACTAACATTATACATACCCTTTTGGTTTCTGTACCCAATTTTTTAAAATGTACAATTGCAATAAAAATATCGGTATCGGTACTCGTTATCGGCAAGTACCAAAAATAAAAGTATCGTATCGGGCGAGTACTGGAAAAAGTGGTATCGGTGCATCCCTAGTATTTAGTATATTGTATTTAGCATATTACATATTTTAGTCAGCTATTCAGCTGTGTGGTGACACACATGGTGTGGTGGAGTATGAGTTGATGCGCTCGGGCAGGAGATATAGGGTACCAACTTGTAAGTTAAACAGGTGCAAATTTTCTCTTAAATGATTGAACAATAAGTGATGAATTGTGTGTGGGCGAGGGTAAGGTTATGGGTAACGTGTAATATTTGCTGTGTAATGGACGATGTATTTAGATTTTTTTTTTTTGATAGTTGATTGTTGTACGTTTGATCTGCTCTCTTGATTGATTGCCTAAGACAAATTTCTCCTGAGGGAGATAATAAAATGGAATACTACTAAATGGAATACTACGATGGCCCCAAAACCATCAGTCGCCCCCAGTATCCCCTCTCTGAACCCTAGGAATGCCCCAAAATGTGCCCACCTGAAATATGCATCTGATTTTCTACTATCTAAACGGCGCCGCACATTAAGTCTGCTAATTCTCCGCCAATGGGAATATTCAAAACAGCACTTATGAAATATTTATCGGAACATGAACATTTCCCTGTATTTTAATTACCTGTATTATACTCGAATTACAATAAAGATTAAGTGAGCCCACTGCTGAAAGGTGACTCAGTGTTAATTTACAGAGATCATGGTGAATAATTAAAATATTTTTGGTTGCTCTGCGGATTGGAAGAGGAAACAATGAAAGGATTTATTCAGAGTCAAGCCACATTTATTAATTTTGAATGTGGCCCAAAGCACCTGCACAGAATGTTGGTATGTTTTATTGAGAGAGCGGCTGTGTTTTCCAAGATCACATGCCCGGGAGGTTCCACTCAAAGGTCTTCTCTGAAGAATCTATATGTTGTGTGTCATCACACATAAAGCCCCTTAGCTAAACATAAACTCCTCTAATGAGGAAAGAGCACCTTCAGTACATTCAGGCCTGAAACTCCTACACAAGTACATGAATGCATGCACTTCTAGCGACACAAACTCAATTGTCACGTTGCAGCAATTGATAGCGCGGTACACAAAGTACATGTTCCATTCTTAGACGAAGTTCAGAGGTCATGAGAATGATTAATTAAATATTTATTGATTGATTTTTTAATTAATAACAATTAGAATATTTAAAAATATCACAGTTTTTCTCAGTCGCTTTGGTGCATTTCTCAAATCAGAAATGAAATTCTCAAAGTATATATATACACACACGTACACACAGATGATAGATAGATGGATGGATGGATGGATGGATGGATGGATAGATAGATAGATAGATTTTTAGTAGATTTACTATTAAATTATATATTAAATTATATAAAAGCAAGTAAAAAGTCCTTCAGAAAAGTAACTGATTTCCTAATAAAATATTCATACTAAATAAAGTTTACATACCTGTTTAACGTATGATTCTTGCCTTATTTTAAACAAACACATTGACATTTCTGTCATCTCATAAACAGGTAGATGACTGTAATATCTAACTGAGGTCGGAAGGTGGTTTTACTTTAGTGTTGAGTTCCTTGAGCTGTTCCCGTCTAGTTTAGGTGAGGGTGTTCCTCTGGGAGCCGTCCCTGGAGGCATGTGTGTTTTCATCTTGGCAAGCACTGGTGAGCATGTGAGAAGGGCGCTGTGTTTGGCTCATTTACATTGATGGCAAGATTCCTCCTTTGCTGGCATTTTCAACAGCCATTGATCCACTGCCTGCCTGATTAATTGTCTATAAAGGGATCAGGAGTCAATTAGTGTCTGAATTTCACTTTGAATTCCATGTGTGTGTCACCTTTCCCTTGAGGACCCCGGCCCGTCTATATGTGTCCACTGTACCGCACTCCTGAAATATCCATCTCCAGTCAATTTACATGTTTCCCCTTCATTCCTCTAAGAGTAAAGAATACATCTGCATATGAAAGACAAAGGATGTACCTGCAGAAAAGAGATGACTGTGTTAGCTACCTAGAGACTGAATCAGGTTTCACTAGGATTCATTATCTTTTTGTTTTAAAGTAGAAGTGAGCAGAGGGTTGACATAAGATATGACAAGATAGTGCTGTCTGGTAATGGTCACAGGTCTAACTTTATGTTCCTATTTTAAATCATTATAATGTAACAATCCCAGAATGCCTTTTGACAAGCACAGAGAAATGTGAAGTATTAATATATTTGTATTTCATTCAAAACTGTAAGGTAACTTAAAAATTATGGATGCACTGAGCTTAAAATTCTGGCCAATACAGATTAGTTGATAATTATTTTATGCTATGGCTAATGACTAAATAAGTCTAAATAGATTAGAAGTTAAACACCAAAAGCTAAAATCACTAAGTGCTAAGGGAATTTAGGAATTACAACATTATAATATACAGTATGAAAATACACATTCATTTTAAGATTTGCTAAAGATGACATTTTTCAGTATAATTAAATTATTAATGTTTTACAAAGATGCATTTGAGTGTTACATTATATGGCAAAAATGAGCATGCACAATTAGAAGAAATTATTATTGTACTTTATAGTATGTTATTATAGTAATTTTTAATTATTTATTTTATTTTAATTTATTTAAAATCAATCTATCTATAAACTTATTTTTAATAATAAAAAAAAATATATATATATATATATATATATATATATAAACTAATATCAGCCAATAACTCATATGATAATATATATCATGCATCTCTTAGTTTAGTCCAATGGATGAGAGTTTACCTCTGCTGGTAGATGTTATAACTGTTTTTTTTATTTTACCTTTATTTAACCAGGAAGTCTCATTGAGATTTAAAATCTCTTTTTCAAGAGAGACCTGGCCAAGGTAGCAGCCATACAGTAAGACAATTTTAAAATACAAGACGTACACATTACAACAATATTTAAACATCCTCTCAACAAAAACAATCACAAGCTTCCAATACCACTCTCTTTATGATGCCTTTAAATTCACCAATAGACACACATTTATGTAGTTTTAGATCTTTTTGTAAATTATTCCATGCCCAGGGTGCATAATATGAAAACGCAGTTTTCCCCAGTTCTGTACAAAGTCGAGGTACGTTAAAAAAAAGAGAGTATGTTAAAAACTTTCTGAGGACGAGAATACAGTTTGCATTAAAGCTGTGTATGTAATAATCATGCATTTTCCTATTCTAGGGGATTTATACAAATATCACCTCTGCATGGATATAATATTGATAAAAATGTGTTTAAATGCACAACAATTACATTTTTTCCTTTTTTCAGGTGATTCAACGCAGAGAAGATGGCTCTGTTAACTTTTTCCGTGACTGGGAAGCTTATCGTGAAGGATTTGGCAAGATAACAGGAGAGCATTGGCTTGGTAAGCCTTCCGTGTCACTATCTGTAATGCAATCTGTCTGGAAAAAGCTTTAAAGCTTTAGATGTCACTAAAAGATGTAGAATATGTAAGCAGTTGTAATATGCTATGTCCATTACTGCATATTAAACAGCTAAACAGCATTTCTATCATATATAGTATATAATAAGTGCTATATACTATGTGATATCCATTATACAAATAGTTAGTTTAGTTCATATGTTATCAAACTATTTTTGTTGAAGGAGCAAAACTAACCAGAATAGCTGACCAACAGAAAGAACTGTTGTATAAAAGCGCAACCGTGAATCACAGTTTCACACTTTTTGGTTTTGACAGTAATGTTTTAAAAAGCAGGCTGAGGAGTTATTTTGCTTCTGTCATGACACACACACAAACACGCTGATCATGTTTGTCACTCTTTTATATATGACTGTTTTTCTGACAACTGTAAGGAACATGGGCATGTTCGGTTATTGCCACGGTGAGCTGCCAGCATGGACAAAATGCCAAATTGTGTGTCCAAAGCCGAGCGTAGCAGATGGCTGTGGGTGGACAGGGAGCAGAGCTTTATAAAGACAAGGAAACTCATCATAACATTCACTGATCAAGCATTGGAAATTTTGGTTCTATCCCATACTGGAATTACAGATTAGTGCTTGTTGATTCAGCATGTTTTTTAAGGGAGTAGTTGATTAAAATGTAAAATGCTGTCATTATTTACTCAACCTTATGTCATGTTAAAGTCAAATCAAAAAAATAAAATAAAATTGAATAAAATTGAATTAAATACATTCTCAGAATGCATTGTGACAAGGTCAGAGAAATGTGAAGTGTAAAGGTAACTTTTTAAAAATGATGGCCAATACAGATAAGCTAATTTGATAATACATTTTCAAATGTTATGACTGATAACTAATAAATAGCTGATATTCAAATTGTATGATATACTATATTATATTCTATAAAATAAAATAAAATCAGTCTATAAACTATTAAATAAAATATTAAACAAATAAAAATACTAAATAAAGACAATTTCAGAAAGCATTGTGACAAGCGCAAAGAAATGTAAAGTATAAATATATTTGTATTCCATTCCAAACTGAAAGGTATAAAACAAAACAAAACAAAACAAGTAGTCCATCTCTTCTGTTTCGTGTTTCTCATACAAAGCTATGGTATAGCTTCAAACTTGGAATAGAGTTGTATACTTTACTTTTAAGGTGCTTGACACACCTAGTTGATTTGAACTGTCATTGTATGGAGAAAAAAATTTAAGATTCTCAAAAACAATTTTTTTGAGAATCCAGTTTGAAATGACGTGAGGCGTTTAAATAATGACAGAATGTTTTGGATGAACTATTCTTTTAAACCTGATAGATGGAATAAGGAAAACATTGTGGTTTGTTTGTGTATTTTCCGTGACGGCCGGTTGCTCTCCAATATGTTGAATGTAAAGCAGATAAATAGCATCTTCTTCTATTTACTGCAAGGTTGCTCCTCTTTCGAGGAAAAAAAACATGGAAATATTTTCTGTGATGGCGATGCTTATGGGTTGTGTCTTGTTTCTTTTTTCACCTTTGCCTGATAAACATTTTAGGTCTAGACTTGTAGAGTTGTTGTCTGTAATGTGCGCTCAGGGTCCTGTGTCTCAATCAGCAATGATGAACTATGACAGGCCCGTCACAGAGTTTCATCTTTGAGAGATTGACAGCTTCACAACGATTGCAGGACAGCACTTGCTAGCAGCTCTCTCACGCCCGCTGTGGCTGAGAATGACTTTTCCCATGGCCTGCTCCTTTTTCTTCACAGTGAGTAAGACCAGCCTAGAGCAATTCCACAGGCTGTTCGACTCACGATATTGCTTGTGCCGCTGGTGGTCAGGGGTTCGGGTCCCTTTGGGCAAGCCCAGGATGGAACAGTCCTCCCTGGAGTGACGAGGTTCAGGGCCCTGCCTCATGGTGAAGATGTGCATCGGTGCCAATGAGTTGAGCTGCTCCAGCCCACGCTCTTAATCAATAAGAGACATGAGGGAGCTGGAGACAATTAACCTCCAGGGCTGGCGAAATGAGTTCCAGAAAACATCAGCAACACAGGCTCATCAGGAATGAG